TCTGAGGCCTCTGATGGTGTAAGTACCAACTTTTCTTTGACCATTTTCTATTCCAAGCTTCCTCACTAATGACCAGATCTGACAGTCCACAATCTTAAGCGCCAGGGAACAACATCTTTGCATGTTGATGATGCAGTTTTTCAAAAATTTCCAAGCTGGCAAGAATGTCACAACGGTTCCAAATCCAAAGGATTCGAGTCACTGAATGCTGCTCAACACATCTCCTATCCACATGTGGGCAGATGATTGGGTCAGTGGTTGTTTCCAATGAGACCTTTTTCAGTCAAACTGTCACCACTGATTACAGGTTGGCCGTTGTTTTTCTGGTTTCTTACAGGCTGACAATGTTCCAAGCGTTGAGGAGGTGAATCCCCAAATCAAACAACCTGAATTCTGTTGGATCAATGTTGTTGACTACAAGGAAGAAAAGCAAGCTCTACTTGTCTTAAACCCTTCTAGTACATCTGCTTCTTGTTCACTGTAATTATTATGGGCAACCTTTCCCATATGCTTGATTTCAACCCGCCCCTCCTGGGGTACCATCTGTCCCCACCCCAATGATAACTCCAGCCCCTCAAGTCGACACCTTGACCTTGCTGTGCTTATCACCACCGCCTTGGACTCCCCTATTCAAGGATTTTTTGATCTTTGCTGGTATTCTTCCAGGTATGAAGAAAACACACAACATCCTGGCTGAAGAGAGGATTTGCAATTTCATTGGCATATTGGACCACAACACCTACTCTTTTGAAAACTTTCAAAGCATGTGCATACCTTTTGCACATGCTGATGATATCTACAAGGCCATTCCCAAGCTCAGCCAGACACTCAAATCACAAAATCACTGAGTAGCATCTTTAACTTTGAACCTCACCCCCAAATCCTGTTTTTTCCCTTGTTCTTTTTTATGCCTTCAATATTGGTGATTGCAATCATGCAAACAATTATGGGGCCCCATCAAGTGTTCTAGGTTTTTGACTCACACATTGATAACATGTCTTGTGCTTGTGACTATCCAAGTGGACTTATAAACATTACTATGTTTTCACTTGCATGACAGTGTGGTGATCAATTTATGGGATCAATAATAAAAAATGAGCATAACTAGTGTACCAAAGTTATTAGAAAAGTTCAGTGCAAGGAAAAACTCAAATTGATGGACTCTGATCATTAGAAGCTCTTGAAGGCTTATAAATTGCACATTAAATTATGATGAGGTTATTTATTTCAAACAACTTATTAAGATATATATGAGCTATTAGCAAAGGGATTGTGAAAAGAAAAGTAACAAAAACATAAGAAATTTTTTAAAATATAGGTATACAGGCTGGGAAATGGTTTTTAGGGTATTGATATTAGGTTTATGGGTTTTGTGAGGTTATGATATGAAAGAATAGCATTATATTATACAGTCACAATTTTAATCTTGCTGGTTGATGAGGAGGAATGAAATTTACTGGAGAACAGTACTTTTTCAAAGTTGGTAAAGAAGGGTTTTACAGCTAGTTTACATATGCAATGGTGGTATTAGTGATATTTAAGGTTGCCAAGAGGATTTTCCGGGATTCCCAAGGTTATAGATGATGATGTAACATTACAGGAGCAAGAGAGTGTTAGCAATAGCTGTGTAAAGAGGTGAAAAGGTGTGAATTTTGTCAATAATGGAGGTTTTCAGCTGATTACATATGTCAAATCACGTCAGAATTGGATGGTAGATGGCTCATTGGATGCAGAAGCATGGATTACACCATTTAAAAACTTTAAGCCACTAGTAACATAGGTGTTTGAAGAAAGTTATAAGAGGAATCAGAAATTGGAGTGAACTTCAAATTTTACACTTACATGCATACATGTAAGAACATTTACATACCAAAACCTTGACTTCACAACTCAATACCTCATCCATTACTCATTATCAGTACTTGATATGGCGCCGATTATTAATCAGCATTACAAGATCTACAAGATGCATTTTAGTCATCAAAAATTGGACATCATCTGAAAAAACCTGTAACTTCAAAAATAGGGTCTCAGCCAGATTACAAGGAAAAAATCACCTGTAGTCATCATAAGAAGCGCTTTGTAACATCTAATTACATCATTGATCACTTTTGGCTGTGTAAATTACACCATCCATTAGTAACAAAGTCATTACATTGCGTGATTACATGGTTTTTAGGGGTTTTTGGTCAAAATTGATTGGTTTTTGAGGCTGTTGACAAGTGTAAGAGTTGTTACACATAATATATATACTCATGGATGACTTTGGGATTGTTGTTCCCCTTTCTGCATCTTATACCTTTGTTTTAGTGTTTTAAATCATCATTTATTTACTACATTTGTACTACGTTCACTTAAATCCGCCCCTTGAAGCAAGGGGAAATTTATTTACGTGTGTTAAAGACTAAAGTCTCTTTTGGAAATAATAATTACAAAAGTATTGCTAGTAATTGATATTGTTTTGTGGACTTTTTGTGCTTAAAACTGGAAGAATACTTATAAAGGTATTGAGAACTTTTCTCTGGTGCCTATTATATTTTTCTCTGTTATCACAAAGTGGTCAGCAAGTGCCATTGTGCTGGTTACTTTGAAGAAGGCAGTCTTTAAGCAACTTTTTCTATTCATATATTAGTAGATTATCCCTTCTTAGGTGTTGTAAAGCTCTTGTTGAGCTGTAAATACTACATAGGTGCACATTGATCTTATTGCTTTGTGTTGGTCCCTCTGAAATGAACAACATTTTACTTGAATTGCCTTATTTAAATGCTGAGTCGTATTCAGATCATCTCAGATGAACAACCAGTGACAAAAATTTTCTTGTTCACAAAAGGACCTTTGTGTCTGTTCTCCTGGGAGAAGTTCTGACTTGTTGCAGTCAAATTTTTGACCTCTCCCCAATAATGAGTTCCTCTCATAGCTCAGGGGCTAAATGATTGCTGACCACCAGCCATCATCTTCCTTGCATGGAGAACATACAAGTTGTCTCACTTACTAAACAATGCACTGCAACAGAAACTGACATGGTTCAAAAAAGCATGACAGCATGTTCATTGACCCAGTGGAAACAAGACACATATGATTGAGGAAAACAAATATGTGAGAACTGTGACTCAAAATGCCAAATCCAATGCCCTACAACCAATATCCACAAACAGTGTAAAGCTTATGCATGAGAGCCCCTGGAAACAATTGCCAAGTGGAATCCATGCCGAGATTGATTTTCTTGTCCACTGGTGTTTCATTTGGCAAAGGCTTTGGGTCTGTCAAAAATGTGAATTCAGAACACTGAATGCCTTCTCAATGGGATTGAGATTGACTGAATATGGTGGGACGTACAAAATATGTATCCCTCTTTTGGCAGCTGGTTTGTCTTTTTGCGCTCCATGGTGGATGTGTGTGTTGTCCAAAACTAGGACTGAATTTGCTTGAGGGTAAGCGGTCATGACTGGGAACTAATGAGATTTATATGTCAATATATAAATAAGGGAAATGCTGCAACCAAGATGAAGATGAGGGAGAACTGACCAATTGGTGCTTGAAGAAACCTTTGAAGTGCAAAGATAACTTCCATCTTGGAAGTTCAAAGCCAAGACTCCACCATGAAATATTGCTGGAAGGAGTGAGAATCTTTTGCCACCTTGAGTCCAAGGAATACAGCTGGTGTTTTGGCCTTGTCTGGCCTGGCCAAACTGTTTTTCAAGATAGTGCTCTTGCACCAAGCACTCATATGAAACAACACATCAAAAAACAATCAGAAAAATGTATTTTGAACAGAGACACACTTTGAAAGATACACCCTACCTAGCAAAACCAGCATATCTGGGGTCAGAGCTCCTACCACATGTGAGTACTTTGCTTGTTTTGAGGGGCTTTGGTTAGGCTGCAAAGTGCATGCTTTCTCAAGGGTGAGGTGCAGACAACCTCTCAGATCATTGGCAATGGTTTGTAAGGAAAACCAGGTGACTGTACGTCAATAAACCGTGCATCAATACTTGTCCAAATACAGAGCCGGATTTGCATCAAGCAAATCCAACATGAAATCACAATCCTTGTCTGTCTGAGGTGTATTTCTTCCAAGGTGCGCATAATCAACAGGGTTGCAAAGAAACCAAAAGTGTTTGTTGATATGAGGCATGCCATCATGAGATCCTTTGGCAGCTGATGGGTGACTTCAATAACGGCCACCAGATCTGATTGATGGTTTTCTCAACTTGGAGGTACTGCACAGCCAGTACCTTGATGCCATCATCATATCTACTGGGTTGCACTCTCATGCCCAGATCAGGGATGAGAACTTTGGGTCAGGACAGTGGTGATGGGGGGGAAGGTGTGGTGTTGTACCTAGGGCTGATCAGTGTGGCCACAGGTGGTATTCAGTGAGAATTTTTGGTGTGGTGCAAAATTTTTCATTTGTGGGTTGAGGGACCCCAAAACCAGTGAATACCTTTTTTGGGTTTTGGGCTTGACCTGTTGCCCAGTCCATTACAAATGCTGCACTGCACATCACCTGTATTTGTGTGCGGTGCCGGAAAAAAAAAGTGCAACCAAGACATCAATTGAAAGACAGAAATGCATAAAATTGGAATACAAAGTTTAATTCCATTGGCTCTTGATGTAGGATCCACATCAAAGAATGCTTGCAGGAAAAAATTGAAAAAGGATAAAGATGGAGGATCTATTTCAGACGGAACACTGAAAAAAGTGACAGATGAGTCAAATCAATTCCAGGCAGGATGCAGAAAGCATGGAAGAAAGGGCTGGAAAGGCTAATACAAAGCATATCCAGACAAGAAACATTTATATGAAGTTCAGGTTGATATGTATGAGCTGGTTAGGATTATGACTGTTCCTGCCTTTATTTGATGTTTAAAACAGATTTTTATGGTGCTCTTCTTGCCAGTCTGGCGTTCAGTTTTCAAACATAGTCTCTCTTACTCTCATCATTAGATCAACTGTTCTTGAGTATGATTGGCGCGGATGTGTTGCGCAAGACAGCATATTCAACGATAATGATGTGGACCAGCAAGTGGTGCAATCGGCCTACCCGTCAATAAACGAGAAATAAGTTCAAGAGGTGAGTAGTGCGACGTGAGTTCAGCCCACAGAGCAATGTAATCTGCAAAGATCCACGTCAATCCAACAGGCACATTCTGAATGCGACAAGGACAACTAAATCAGGCAAGGGTGAAGAATTCGCAGCCGGATGGGGAACAAGCAAAGTTGACTTACCTCTAGTTGGAAGTATTGTGGGCCTTGCTTCAAGGGGACAAAACGTATCCCAGCTGAAAAAATATCCCATCAGAATTTACTTAACGTTACACGGACTTTATGACGAGTACAAGACAGACCAGGAAGTCGAGCAGGATCCTTGAGTCTCAACATGACTGTGAACAGCGGAAAGTGATTTAGTAATGATAGGCCGGTATCGATGATGGCATGTATTGCGACGATCAATAAACGTGGCTACAACGTGTTTTGAATGAAAAGGTTGTGAGTTTACAAGATCTGTGGATATGAGAGGGCGCCTCGAGTATAACTTACGACACTGAGGAGTAGATAGAAAGCTAATACGGTTGGGAAAAGGAATGTCGCCAACGTGAAGAGGATCGTGCCAAGGATCAATTGGTCTAGCTGATATGTCGCAGGCTCAGTTCTATCACGTAATATGTTAAACTTTCGGCCTGATGGAGATTTTGAATTTCAACGTGTTTGATGGAAATCTGCTCATGAGCATAGATGATGAGACGCTTTACCTCGAAATATGTTGAACAAAAATTGGAGCGTTTGTAGATGCCAGCTAAACACGAAAGTGAACAGGCGGTAGACTAGCCATAAGTGAAATGTTGATAGCGCAAAGAAGTCGGAAGCAACGGCTAATGTGAATGTATGGCCGCAGAAACTGGCATAACCGGTCAGCAAAAGGATATGGGGGAGAGCGCCAAAGGTTGGTTTAAGGACATCTGATGACACAAGAATTATTGGGTCAGATGTCAAAACATAAAAAAACGCAATGGTATCATATAAAAATGATATATCATCATGAAGGAAGAAGTTACGTGAACAAACATGCGTGCCAAAGATCGACGATCAATACCGAGCCTGTATAAAATGTTTCGCACAGCTCATCATTCAACTTTAATCCGACGGGGTAAGAATTTGTCCATTGCAAAGCTTTCTTGATGAAAGCGACAGTGTATTCCTGTAAATACCGGGCGAAGAATCAATTTAGATATATGTATCTACTATAGGCGCTGAGATGACCAAAATATTGAATTCACTTCAAGGTTAGTTTCAAGCCAGGCTGCGAGTACATTTCTATTCTCCATGAGGAATGTTGCGCTAGATCTTCCGAAGATGATATCGTTAGCGATGAGCCATAGTGTATTAAATAGTCTGTTATTCCATTGTTGTTCAAGATAGGTTAGATATAGCAATTTGGAATCTCACTCTATGACAGTTGTATAAGTGTAAGTGCAGATACCTGACATATTCGGCCCGGCGCTCAAGCAACGTGGTAGGCTCTTCTCTCCATATCTTTTGGTAGCGCGCAGGCCAACTAGTTATCTCAGATATTCGGACATTCAGTTGTTGGACTAAATATGGAATAGTTTGTTAGTATATCGCGTGCCATTTTCTTCAAGGTAGACCAACCTGTGGTTGAAAGCATCAAGCAGGCGAAAAAAGAGTCGGGCTTAGGCCATGGATGCTTAGATTTAGCTTTCGAGTGGTCTTGGTTGTTATCTTGGTTTGTAACATCGGATAGATATTTCCCGTGCGCTCTTTCATTCAACTCCTGACTATGATTGATCTGAGTGGTATTTGCATTAATCGCATGTACGAGTTGGTCACAATGACGTTTCACTTACGAAGTCCAGCGCGTGAAGCAAAGTAATGTCAGGCGGATTCTGAGTTACCGACGGACGTCTGTAGGCTTCATTCAGTCTTCTCATCTTTGCAGGTAAATCCGACTTCTTCACTTGTTGATGACGATTTTTCAACATGGTGGATGATTTCAATAGGGGTTGCAAGGATAAAAAGTGGTGTCGCTTCATGGACGGTCGGTCATATATCACAACAAGCATTGCATCTTGCTCCGAAGAGCTGGTCCACAGTTTACATGGCGCAATCTCAGCAGGGTTGCAAGGTAGAGTTGACAAAGTGAATTGAAGAGAACATTTCAACATACCACAGTCGTGGTACCTTCCCAGAAAATTCAAGATCAATCCAAGTAGCTGACGGAAATAGATGACGACCGGGAGTAGGCGCGGTCTCCGGGTCCGAGATGTATCCCAGAGGTTCAACGGTCAAGTTCTGTGTCGAGTGTAGCTCCAGTTGAACGTGTCGAAGTTGATCTGATTGCTTTGAACGACGCCATTATTATTCACAACAGACCTAATCATCATCAGAGACTTGCTTCACTTACCAGCCATGGAAGGGTTACAAGAGTGGCCACGCATGCAGCGTTCTGAAACCGCCATCCGATCAAATATCCACTGGTTCCAGGTGAGATGTCGCTGGGCCAAAAGAGATGGGTGAGATGTTTTCCGGCTTTTTCTTCCATCGTGATCGAATTGTTTTACGCGCTGGAATCACCGGTGTAGAACGACCCTCTTCGTCGAAGGTGTTCACGCGCCGATAACTTGTAGGGCTGCCTCGATCCCTAGTAAAAGGCGATTGGTTCGGGTCAACAAGACGTAGCTGCGGATCTTCAACCGACTAAAGAAGAGGCTCACGTATTGAAGAATAGGCTCAACAAACTGATTGGCCCAACAAACAAAAACTACGAATGTGGCGATAGCTAATCCCAGAACACCAAAAGGGTCGATTGAAAACGTAGGAATAAGGCTCATCTACGGTGAACGTGGTGTAGCCGGCTTATCGACGGCGTTTAGATTCACGCTCTGCGACTGGAGGTCGAGGAGGCACGGAGAACAATTATCAACATGAAATATATGGCACATCATCGTTCCAGGGCTGAATCGAAGACTTCATCTGCTCAGCCGAAATATCAGCTGGATATCCGGCCCGATACCGTGCAGCACACGCCCACAAGCGTCAAGAAGGGGAATCGGTGTGAGATCTGACACAGCCGCACATGATTTCTAGTGTTGACTCTAGCGAGTTCCTCAAGGTTCCCCATCACTTTGTTTAAATGTAATCTCTTTTCCTCTTCCCTGGGGACCTCTGACTTCCTTTGTTGTTACAAACCTCATAGTCGTATGTGATGGTCCTATGTACTAGAAGACAGTCACATTCTCTCAAACAAAGCATGCACAAGAAGGAATTCACCCATGATTTTTATCTTATATATTTACAACAAAGTTGAGCTTCAATTCATGGTGACATCCGAATCATCAAACTCTTCCTGAACATTTTCTTGTATAAGTCTCAAGATCTCAGCATGGTACTCCATCAATCCCGCGCTTTCAATCAAATCTTCCAACTTGTTGTTCTCTTCTTGGTAATCAGCCACGAGCTGTTCGAGTTCAAAGGTAGAATGCTCCGAGAACCGTATTGCTAAATTATCAGCCACACTTGTTGACGCATCGAAAAAGCACTCATTTGGTGAGAGGATCTGGAGACTTGATTCACTTCGGTCTATGATTCAATGTTGTAAGTTGGTAGTCCACCCAGATCACAATACCAGAGTCAATTGAACGGCACCTCACCATCTGTGTTTAAAACATTTGTCAGGACATGATACAGCGCTGTACTTTTCAGACACGCTGTGACGTCCTCGTCAGATAGGTTGGTGGACTTCCTCAGGGTATGCCAACTAAAGGTATACATTAGTTTTGCAATCTGAACACACACACTTAAGGATGATATCATTCAAGGACTCACTCCTCATGAATATAAATCCTCCTCCATACACTTTGTAAGGCTAGATGCGCCCTTCCCGGGACAAGCTCCTGTTCAAGGCGTACAAGGCATTTTTTAGACAAGCCTTTCCGAAGATGAGACCTGCAAAGCTGAAGGCGAGGACGAACCTTGGCTCTGGAAAATGCATCTAGCGCGGTAATGAAGTCTTCCATCTGTTCACCCAAATTGGCTTTCAAACTGTACATATCGATCAAGTCTTCCATTCCCAAAGCGTTTCCTTCAAGGATATGCCTTATGGACTTTCCAAAAAGCTGATCGAGATAATGCGCGCTAGTCAGTTTTCAGTGTCCAGTTCCGACTTCGAATGTTGGTCACATAAGACTCACCTGGGCAAACGCAGGTCTAGTAGAGAGATTCGGAGCGAGATTCTCTTTCAAGAGTTCGATTTGGTTATCGATTGTTTGCAGAGAATACTGAGGATGTGAACCAAGTATATCGGTACAAAGGCCAACGAGTCGGAACTGGGCATCAACGATATCTAATCTGTCATCAATAGCTGAGAAAGGTGAAACAATACGGGATTAGTGACGAGATGTTTGGGAGTACTGCAGCATGATGCGTCTGGTATCGGGAGGATGAGCAGACCTTCGATAGCACGGAGGGTTTGCTCTGACTTGAGATCTTCAACGCCAATCTGGGAGACTTGACACAATTTGCCTAGACTCAACATCAGCTGTATGGTGCAAAATCGGTAACAAAAGCAAGAATGGTCAGCTCGAAACATAGGAATTGCTTTGAAGGCCAGGTTGTCCGGTTGGTTATACCTTCTGCTCATCCAGATCTTTGGAAGCTAAACCCTCATTGACCAAAACACTTGCTGCGTGATCGAAGCGACCAATAGCAAGATCATGTATCCATGAGATCTTCCCATAGTCAGTGTTATCGAGGAAAGATGTCACCAATGGGGCATAGGCGTCATCCTGAGTAAGTAAGTCAAGATATCGGCCTGCAACGAAAAATAAGGAAATGATCGGTTTCGTTTTCGGTGGAAAGAACGACGGCATTCCTCAGCAGACTTACCATGCTCTACATACCATTGATACAGTTGAAACGCAAATTCTTTCTTGAACCTCTCGATATAAAGGGGTACGCGTCGTTCCGAACCAGGAAATGTCGAGTTATGACATAATTCAACAAGTGTACGGAAGTCACGTTGCTCTTCTGCCAATCCGAATGCTCTGCCCGGTTTATTGATTTTCACTGATTAAAATGCGTTCATAAGTCAAAACACCATAAGCTGACAAAATGATGGCAGTCTTACCCAGCCCCATGATTAGCAGTGGGCGAACGCGCAAATATCGATCATTCAAAACTTTGGTTTCAGTATGTGAAGCGCCCAAAGTACTGTGAAGGGAAAAACGTCAGATATGAAGGGAACCAATTTTTATTAGCGATGGACATGAGGCGATCAGTGCGACTTCTGATTAATTCCAAATCCATGTTCACCTCTGCAAAAACGCTATCCGCTCATTCATCATGGCCAATAAATTTTCGGCTAGTTGTACAAGTTGCGTTTTGAGTATCACTTGCAACTCCCGAGTTCGGTCATTACAACAGATCTCTTCGTCCTCATCTTCGGCCAAGATGATGGCTTGTGATTCTCCTCCAAAGCGAGCATTTTCTTCGTCTATGGTTGGTCCGAAATCACGTAACCTCTGTTGTATAACGTTCAGAGTTGCATCGTAATGATATTGCAAAATATCGAGTAAGGCAACCAAACTCGTCCAAGGAGAGGTATATGTATCATCGCGCAAGTCATAAATCTTGTCATGGGCTTGACGGAAGCTGGTGGCAGCGCTGTAGACGGTCTGGTACGATCCTGTCAGTTTTGCTCATCGTGATGAATGCGATGAGACGGGCGAGCTTACCACAATGATTTCATTGGATTCGATGAGGACAACAGCACGTTTATTGGGTGTGTGTGACGAGATTGATAAAGTTGACTTCAACTGACTTTGAGAATGCTCGAGAAGATCGATGACACCTGAAGACTAGTAAAGGACAAAAGTGAGTACTGGGATGATCGTCATGAGCAGATATCGCATACCTGGGTACGGAAAAAACCGCGGATCACATCGTCATCGTCATCCCTTTGTGTGCTATTCATGTACGATGCAATTACTTGACTAAGAAATGTCGAATTGGGTCTCTGAGACTGAGACAAAGCATTCATCTTTAGGTTTTGGTGAAGCCAAAGCGCGTGAGTAGCCGAGAGAAGTTCAGCATTGCTCATGAGAGTCCTTTTGCAAGCTCGAGACAACCTGTTGAGCATTCCTGTGGCGTTAACAAATTTGATTAGGGTATGTAACCGTGATGACCGGTCGGAAAGCTGTGCACGAAGATCCACAATTGGGGGTAGATTTTTAGCGCCTATTTTTTTCGACAGGCCAAACGCACAAAATGAGTATCAGCCTAACAGGCAAATTGCGGAAGTATGCAAGTGGAGACATCCTTTTGAAGGGAAAAACACACTTGAGCTAAGTATCTCTTTGCTGATTTGTTCGGCTGCAGCGCCTAAATCGCCTTCAGCTTCAGCTTCCAGAGTGAAGGCGATCGGATTCTAATACATGCCGATGCAGACGAATTTATCAGTACAAATTGATAAATACTTGAAAGAAAGTAGATCACCTCTTCTTTATCACCAAAGAAGACAGCCTGATCAAGTTTGGTCTTGAGCTTGAAAGTTGCCCTGTCAAGGCGCTCCTCGGCAGTCAAGGGCCTGCGATAGGACCAAAAGCGATGAAGTGATAAGAATCGATCTCGACAAAAGTAGCACAATGAATAGGATGCTCACATGGGTCTCTGAAGCTCAGATGGGTTGAGTTCTATTTCCAGAATTCCGCTAGCAGTCGTCAGAACTTTCAAAGTAGGAAGCTTCTCTCCACTTTCACCCACAGGCTGAATACTCAGGCTTTCTGTACCCCCTCCTATGATTCTGTTGGTGGCTCCTGACTTCAGAGATACCATCTGCTCAAGATTTGTCCCGGGTGTCAATGAGACTGCAATTAGACGTTCTGGAAAGCAGATGAAAGCTGCTGGTCCACCATGGGGTAGAGAGAGTGTTGGAGCAGTCTCGAGCCGAGGATCCGGATACTGCGAGGTCACATCTTATGAGTTATTGTCGCTATATGCATCCGTAAAAATATTGGCTTACTTCACGATGCTGCAACTTAATCGCATGAGTCACCGTGGGCGACGCGGTCGTCGATATGATATCTAAGATGATAATGGCATATGATCTTGGCTTGATAGAACTCGAGACTTCAGGTAGCTCTGTTGCGTCGACGTATGAGACCAGGATCGCCAAATCACGGGAACTTCACACGCGCCAATTCAGTATCTCAATGCGGATTGAAGGTCAAAAAAGCGTAGGAGGTGGACTGACTATGTGACGCTGAGGTCCAATAAGCTGAGGTCGATTTGCTCTGCCATGGTCAACATATCAACCTCAGAATACGGCACCAAGTTTTCCAAAATGATCGGCCTGATCTCGTAGTCGGAAAGCAATCGTTCGCCGCTTCCACTATGACCCATCCTCCATCTCTGAAGGGTTCCTCTACCTTCCAGAGCCCATATTTCGCCTCCGCCCATAGTCGTGTCACCCTCCAAAGCAGGCCCGATAGCCAAAGCAGTGACGCCCGCTGCGGGATCATAGGTCTGTCCCCATCGCATCAGAGTGCTGATCTTGCTTCCCCAGGTTTGAGCTCGCGACATAAGACTGGAGGTGACAGTTGGACGACCTGTCGCACCGGGAGAAACTGCGATACGAAGCAGGCGCGAATGCGAAGTAGCGAGAACGAACGAGCCGGGACTTGAAGGTAATGGCTGAAGACATCGAACCAATTCGGCGTCATGTAGCTGGACTTGTATCGTTGCGAATTTTTCTACCCCAGAAAGAGCCAACGAGAGCGAGTCCCATGCCCGAAGTTCACCTGTAGGAGACACGAGTAGCAAACCAGGTTCACGCCGCGTATACGTAGATGTGCTGCTGATTGAGATCAAAGATGCCAGAGGTAGCGGAGCTAAGGTATTGACCAGAACGGACTCAGTCCGTGAGATTGGACATGGGAATACATAGCACGTTGGAGGTGCTGAGGTGCGCTAAAAGCCCAATTGGCTCAGCCATTGTCAGCTAAGTTCATTAAGTGCATAGAGAGCAGGAAACTGACCCTAACGAAATTCCAGACATGACAGGCTTCCCGAGACCAGACATAAGCAAACCCAGTGGAATGATCGACATGTGCCTTGAAGGCATCTAGGTTTAAATCTTAAATAGGTACGATGAAACAATATCTGTCATTGGCTTGAGATGTTTAATTGTTGGAAATTTGTGATCACTCACCGGATCCAGATAGCATCTGCTCAACATCGCTTGGGAGTTGACTATAGGCTGTAACTACATGAAAATCGTCTTGAAGTAAAATTGATAGGCCATAGGTTGGTTGAGTCACTTGTTTCAATCCCTCTTCCAACGCGATTGTTTGTTCTTCGGTAATTGACAAAGCCTGGAGGGTATGAATTCCACGGGTCATAGGGGTCATAGACCTGTTTCTTCCGTTGATTGTCGCGCTATGAGGCATGCTGCCCTTTCTAGATTGACCACTGTGAGGAGCAAGAAAGGTTGTTGGATGAATCGTCGGTGAAGGTTCCGCCGCGATACTAGCACCGGCAGAGCTGAGTCTGGATTGAGCTCGAATTCCAGTCCGCTTCCTCGTATGAGGCCCAGTTCCTTTGTTTGCGTTTTGAGAGAACATCGTGTTGAGTCTTTCGTCAATTTGGATCTTGATGCGATGGCTCTTCACAGTGAGTACTTCAAGTTCTAGCAGTGTTCGATCGCTGAGGAGCGAACATTTTTGATCAACGCGAGACAAGTTCCAAATACCTGGTATGCGGTACTTCAGCGGACCCAATACCGAGGAGTGCTGAGGTCATTCCCGCCTGAGTGCGAGCTCCGGGTCTACCCGGGTCGGACACGCAGCTAGCCGAAAAACCCACATTGAGGAATGCAGAATCGATTTTGCAAATATCACCATCCCGGAAAACAACGCAGAAGACGAATTCGATGACATTCATTTCGAACGGTCTATTAAGGCGGTTGGAATTGCCAAGATGTCGATCGCCTCATCCAAGATCAATATTTTTTCCTCATCATCACCATTTCGGAAGAACTTTGTCAACTAGTACAATCAATAAACTCCCGGATGCTCTCGTACCAGAGTCTACCGCAGATAGTGGGGTTACAAAGACCGGTAAGGACTTTGTAGAAAGTGCAAGTATGTGTAGTTTCCTTCTTGTTGACTCATCATCGAGGCTCATTCATGTTTTTTTCTTCGATCAAGAGGCGGAAGTCTCTATGCAACGATTTTGGAAGACAGTCGATATACATCCTTCAGAAGACGGTAAGATTTTGTGAATGGCATCTTTTTCACAAGTCTAGCTACGAAATTGAAATGTATAATATCACAGGAAATTTCCACATTCGACTTGACCAAAGGAAGTTAGTCACACCTTCAGGAAATCAATTAGTCATTCCTCGATCGAAAATTGCTCTAGCTGTGCTTGTTGCTCGCGAATGGGCAGAACAACGTAAGATCTTGAAGCAACATTCATTACCGTTGGTTTGTTTCCTGGCTCTTACGATGTGACCCTTGTTTTGTTCTTGAAAAACCTTACTCATGAACCTTACCTTCTGTCCCTTTTGTACAGACCTCCTTGGTATCCAGGTCGATTGATGGGATGAAAGTTGAAGATCGAGACGAGATCATTGATTCCCTCCTCAACTACCTAGACACAGATACAGTTTGGTAAGCGCTTATGCAGGGATTTTGATCCACTAAAATTGCTGATATCCGCTATGCCTGACTTAGTTTCTTCGAAGAGAAACCTCAAAGATTAGTAGATCTGCAAGACAAACACTGGAAGCCTTTAATCGAGTGGATCAGTCAAACTTACTCTGTCAATCTCAAGATTCATCATGATTCTATCCTCTTTGCCAAGCAGTCACCTGCGACCAAAGAAGCCCTGAGATCGGTGGTGATGCATTTTGATCGGTTAAAGCTCGCCGGTAAATAACTATCCGTTTTTATCGCTCGTAGATCCAAGCGTTGACTTTTGTATCAAAATAGGGTTTGAGCGAGCAGTGCATGTCACCAAATCATTTGTGATAGCACTAGCATTAGTCGAAGGCAAACTTACTGTGGACGAGGCAAGTGATGCAAGTAGAGTGGAGGTTTTGAGTCAGATCGCCCGATGGGGTGAGGTAGAAGATAGTTAAGTTGAACGTTTCGTAGAATTTTGCATTTCTACCACTCTTTTGAATGATTTCTGACATGAGGAATCTTGTTCACAGCCCATGATGTCGATTTTCAAGAAATTCGGATGAAGCTGGGCAGTGTTACCTGCGCATTGATATAATGCAATTCAACCACTTTTAAAATCTGACATATGTCTAGTACAATGGATGTCAGCATGGCGCAATATCCGCTGGAATCAACTGAGCCTCTCTCCGCCTCACGTGGGCTGTCAACCTGGAGTGCGGCGGAAGTCCAAGTGTTTTTGTAAGCTGTCATCCTATGGGGTCCTTGGCTCTCTGATCAGCTGTTGGCCAGAAGCCCCTGCAGTATCTGCGCTGTAATAGAGCTTCTATAAGGAAGCTGCAATTTCACTGTGTACCAACATTCACATCTGAGTAAACTTCCACACATCCCCCGTTGAAAGTGTAGGTTCAATGCAAAACTTTGATGACTGCCTAGTCAGCTCTGGAAACTTTGCTATACCTGACATCATGTTACCAAAGTGCTCTTGATTAGGTTTCAACCTCCTACGAGTGTGAGGTCCTTGGATGGAAGGCTTGATGGAGTTTGATCAATGTTAGATTGACCAAGGTGTGGAGCGGAGTTACTCGGCCTCATGGGTTGCTGTTGAGCTAGAAATTGATGACTTGATGAGCCTCCAAACTTGCACTATCTGTGTAGTTGCCTTGTTGGTAAACATTCAAGTCATCAAATGGCGGGCCCTAAGAAAAAGTAACTTGGCTTGGATGCATCTGTGGCAATTCTGAGCTCATGGTTGTGTCTTGGAGCCACCACCTTGAGACTTTGGCTTTCAGTAAAAAGAGACAAGGATTCCTCAGATCCTAGCCACCCAGCCAGATATGCTGTCAGTGATGGAAATTTCTGATCCCTGACTCAGCCCAAGACCAGAAGTACAAGTCACATCACACCACCCCCAGCACTTGTACTGGGGCTTGCAACAAGAATGTTGTATACTCTACCACATTGCAGTCCTTTTGGTTGTGAGAGTGGTGCAGACCCATTATCACTACCTCATGCATAGCAGCCTCCATCATGTCATGAGTGAAAGCTCTCAATATTCTGACTCCTGACAAATAACTCTACTTACATCTTTCATGCACCAGAGACATCACCACTACAACCAAGGTGGTGAGTATCTAACTTCTTGAATTCTGAACTTAAATATACAGTTGAGCTCTCATCATACTAATCCTTGTTCCCATAGAGAGACACTTGTATTTATTGATCTCCTTTAAGGTCTTGAATCAAAACAATAGCTGTGAAAAACTACTCATCTTGACAAAGAAACATTCATCACTGGACTAGCTTCCAAGACCAAAAAAGCACAAAACCCTGCTCCAGGTCTAATTTGACTCCCTTTTTTCCGGGGTGGACCTTGCACTTCCCTTAGACTTGTGCAATTGAGGGCGTTCAAGTTAGGCAAAAAATGTCTGGAAGTTTTTTAAAATTTCCAAAATTTCAAGCGACGTTTTGATGTAGGGACATTTGTATTGTAGGTGTTTTTTAACTTGAACCCCCCCTATTGAAGGGACTTGGGTAACTTGGGTTCTATTTATAGAACCAAGAAACAAGGATCTATAAAGCCTTACATCAGACCAAACCTGTCATTTGAGAATTCTAACACCAAGTAGGCAAGAAACCATAAGCAAATTGAATCATCTTGACAGAGACCAGAAATATATATAATATCAAGCAACCTCAGTTACATACTCAAGCATTCAACAGCTACAAAAATGTATCCAACCAAATCACACATCCTAATTACTTATTTTATGCAACTACACAAGCCTTTCTTTCCAGGCTTTGGGTCTGCATAGTAATATTGGTAACTGAATCGTATGTGTAGTGTTCTGGATAGGATGTGTAGTGCTTGTGCAACTTACCCAGGCCCTCAAATTTATGGCAGAGGAGCCATCAGCCAAAAATCTTACATGACCAGGCAATAGGAAAACATTGCATGTGTGAACATAGATATGAGGAATTGATTGTGTAAATCAACAAAATTGATGCACCGTGGTGAGCCAATTGATTGGGTGCACCCTTTGGAACATTATTTTTCACCTCCCAATCTGAGTTCATCAGTGAGACAACTCATATTGATAAACATCAGAAAATTTCTCCATTCTCTAGCCTTTGGCTTTGGGATACCCAAATATAAATGCTCAGCCTCAGTCACTTGACCAAGTATTTGAACAACACACATAGATATAAATTAGACCAAACCCAATATCATAACTCATCTTGAGGGTCTGCCCCCAACCATGTACAAATTTTCAGTGCAACCACTTATGTCAAAGAGTCAAAAAATCTGGCAATGGACTGGTGTCCAGGATCAGTATGAATACCTGTCTTTTTACTCCCAGAATAAACAATACTTTTTGCCATCAAACTCCAATTTGTTGCTATATGGGTTTTGAGAGCTTTTGCTCAAGACTTTAACCCATAAGTGTAACCCTTTTCTGCTTGAATTATAGAATCTAATCCTTCATCAGAAATTGAGTCACCCCTGATCCCCTTTTCCAATTGGAATTTGATTGGTTGTTGACAAACCATGAACTTTTCCTTGAGTATAAGATCAACAAGAACAGCAAGATTCTATTTCTCTCTATTTTTTTGGATTCTTCATAACTTTCTCATACCTGGATAATTCCTTACTCCCTGTAAAAAATCAACAAAAGATGTAAATTTTCAAGTCCCCTGATAGTGACTACAAACTTCCAACCCGGTCAGTGTACTGACAATCTGAAGCTGCTCTCATTGATGATCTTTTTCTAAGAGATTATCACTCAATGAATGTCTTCTCCAACAAACATCCAGGAAGTTTTAGAACAAGGATATTGATTAAAACCAAACAAAATCAACTTTAGTAAGTCAATGAGAGCTTTCACATTAGATACTTGATAAATTCACATCGAGTGTGCTTGGATATAGACCAACTAGTAAACTTTGTCAGGTATGCTTGCATTTTGATCATAATTGTGAACGAGCTACATAACTGCTCCAGAAGTCCAATCAACCTGTGGACTATTTCTACCTTGATAACAATTGTACAATAAGCTTAACTCTTAAAGTACAATCTGTACCTAGATGATCAGAGAGGGCACCACATAATGAATCATAAGTTAGTCTAGAATCGATTGGTTTATAATTTTCCATTAAAAATTCTCTTGTATAATTCCACTTCAGCAGGTATCTGAATCAAATGCTGGTTTGAAATATATCATGCTTCAGTGTAATTGCCCAGTCCCTTGTAAGACTCTGATGGTACAGAGACCGTTCAAAATCAGTGCGTGTGTAAGGCCCATGGGGTTCCTTTTTGAGCAAAAATTAGCTGATTGCAATAAATTAGGGTTTGCACTCAAAGGGAATGAAGAATAAGCTTCACAAGCCATAGTGTTTGAAGCAAGTAACATTCTTTTTTTAAAGTGTAGCAGTGACCACATTAAAGAAACAAATATAGTTCACAAGTCTGATCTCTCAATCATCAGAAAATCATTGTTTAATTAAAAGAACAAAAAAACAATTGGGTTCGAAGTAGGCTCACTTTGTTTGGTATGTTTACAACTGATGAAAACATTTTATCATTACATTGTTGTAACAACAAAACAATGTAAACAAAACTCTTTTGATCAAAGATATGATGAAAGCTTTACCAAATTATTAAAAATCATATTATTGGCAAACCTACAACACCCTAAACCCCCGCAAAAAAAGGAAAAGATAATGGTTTGTTTGAATTGGATCTTCAACTCTCTGAAGATGCAAAATATGTTAAACTATCAAAAAAAAGCACTTTCTTTGTTCTTCTTCTTCTTCTTCTTTAGAATCAAGGAGCAATCCAAGTACATTGTTGACCTTTCCCCATCCAAAAATATCTTTTAGGTTCGATATTGAGAGTTCGATTCGCACGAAAGATCCACTTGAATGGCATTTCATTTGAACGACAATCGAATTGAGTTAATTTAGATAACAATCTAGACAAATTAGCTGCATCATCAATCCCACTATGTTCTTGACCTTCGAATTCTAATCCAAAGATCTTCAAAGATTCATTGAGGGATAATGAAGTGGGTGGTCTGATACAATAAACTTTTGGTATGAAAGCTTGTAGTAAATAACGCATGTCGATCATATGAATAGGTGATTGAAGGTATGAAGGTATTTGATATCGTTTTAATTTAGAGAGGAAGATTGATTTGATCCAATGGTCTCGTAAGTCCTAGATGACCAAGACCGAGATCGAAGAGGATTTGTAAGGCGTCAAAAATCGATAGCAGAGTTATCGCGTGTCAGATCTTTGAGGTTAGTTCAAGTGGAGAGTTAGTCTACTGATTTCGCATATAGATTGCTTACCCATGGACCATCCGTGACCCAAACCGACCTGTTATGAACGGTAAACAGCTGGTGTCGTTCGATGAAGTTGATTTGAAAGTCTTTTAACATCGCAGGCAAGGTAGGCGCGTTATCGGTATCTTGCTGTCAGAGAGAAGAGCGTACGGTCAGCCAGCAAGCCCAGCAAGAAAACCAAAAGAATGTAAATCAAGGTCATGAGCTCTTTACCTGCGTGATCCCGGTCAGTTGAGTACAAAACTCTGAGATCTCAGGCCTCCAAGTGGGTTTAACAAAACTACGATATCGATCTACTTCATATAATTCCCATCGACCAGAACAGTGTCTCCATTGCATTAAGATCACAGGCCATTCGATAATCTCATTTGGGTACATCCAAGCCAATTGATACTCGTTCAAGTTATGAGGATTGTCAAGATGACGCTGATTAGAATTAATACAAGTCGATTCGACATCCAAGCATAAAAATGAATGAAATTCTTGTCCTCTTGGTTTGGTAGGTGATCTGCGAAAGTAGTGGTTTGAAGAATGATGAAATCGCTGATTGGAATTAGAGCTGGTGATAGGTGGTGAGGTTTGGATTTCTGGGCTCCTATTAGTGTTAGGATCACGAAGTTGAACATGTGCAAATGAGGTACACAATCGATCCATAGTTAACATGTTGAGGTTTGTTCGGTTGGTCTTTTGAATCTGAGATTCCCAGTTTTAAATAAGTTTGGTTTGCGAGTGAATTGTTGAGGTCGAAAGTCAAATTGTATCATTTGGCAAGATGAATTTGAAAAGAGGCCAGACTCAAAGAGAGCGGCCCCTGTTAAGAGCACCAATTGGATTGGATGAAACTTGAAAGCTTGACGTTGGGGAAGTGAAGTTTTAAGAAATCAAGTTATCATCAGCATCAGGGGTCTCAAGAGTCAGTCTCAGTCTGATACAAAATGATGAGTATCTGAATTTAATGTCGTGACTCGGTACATATGCTCTTTGACTTGCCAAACCCCATACTACAATTTAAACAGTGCAAATCATGAACCCATGAAATCGAGGCTTTCCTCTCCATCTACATACCAAACAAGTTTTTAACGTCACTGCTTCAATCACTTCAACCTCAATGACATCTTCATACCAGCATGCCAATATGCTATCTATGCCGATCGAACTCATAGAAATGATTACTTACTGGGTTCATCATCTTCCTCCAACTCGGCAAAATACCGATACCTTTCAACACCAGTATGATGATAGACCTTTTCCAGTCTTCCAAAACACAAGCCACAGTCAGTAGAATAGCTTAATTCACCATTCTATCGTTCATTCATTAACCAATTTGAACATCATTGGTTTGTGTGTTTCTGCTCCAATTTTCTTCTTGATGTATGATTATATACTGTGCTGACAATACCACGCCTTCTTGCACTCCCAAAGATCTTCCCTTGAGCGATATCCGCTGGCTTGCCTCAGTCAACCGCTCATTCTATCAAATAGGGTCTCCTTATATTTTTAACGTAGGTCGTCTATGTATTGTCATCAGGCTATTCTCATGATCTGATAACCGATGGAATGAGTTCGATCTATCTCCTTTCCAGACTCTCGATCTCAATGGTTTTACGGTGGATAGATTAAAGTCCACACTTGAAGAAATTATTAAAAGACATTCAGATCATGTTCGAAAAATCTGCTGGAGAGTCTCAGAGCGTAATTCATATCCACGGGAGCCTGACGGTGAAGAACGATTGGATGCAAATAGATATTACAATCATCCGTATTGGATTTCACAGTGGGATCCTAACTTACGATCTGAACTTTTACTCAAAATCCTAGAATCTTGTCCTCATCTCACCGATCTTGAGATTGATCTCGATCCAGAGTCTTTCATATCTACTAACAAGGGAACATCGAACTCGAAGCATTTTCAGAACTCTTTGACATCATCCGAGGAACGAATCCCAAACTTACTTATGAAACCAATTTCTCAACTTACTTCACTTACTCATCTTTCACTATCGTCTCCTCATCCACGACCACCTTACACAGAACTCTTCTTAGTAGACATTCTATCCAACCTTCCTCAACTTCAAAGTTTCGGTTGTTCGTACGTTGAAGCTACTCGTCCGAAGCCTTTGGACACCCTACAACCTTGCCAATCGCCACTTGGAATCCATCTCGCTTCCCATACCCATCTCGTTGCATTAGATTTACAAGACACCGAATGTTGGGATGTCAGTTGGAATCAACTTGACTGGAAAAGTCCATTAAAGGCATTATCATTGTCAACTTGTAATGAAGTTCCAGTATCAGTATTAGATGGTTTCTTTAGACTTTTCAAATCGACCTTGACGACACTTGCATTTCTGATGTTCCTTGATGACCCTGGCGCTTTGATTTCAGAGTTCCTTCCAGATGATTCTTTTCGATTCGAATTACCTAGACTAATCAATTTAGAAATCACAAGTACCTCAGCCATTCGATTCTCAAGAGCTTTTGAAAATTCAAAGAGTCTTTCATGGCTCTCGCTAGGTTTCCCGCCCCATTATCAAGGATTAAAAGGTTTAATCGAAGATCAACTTTGGCCTGATCTAAAAAAATTGGAGATTACAGATTATGCGTCTAGTTTCCGTGAAGAGGTTGAAGGTTTAGAAGTCTTGTGTCAGAGATATGCAATCGAGATCGTTTTCAATGCGGATTTGGGTGATGATGAGGATATAGGATGAAGTTATTGATCACGTGATATTCGAGCTACCAGGTTATTTGCCAGGCGTTCACGGTGAGGATGGTAATTTGTATGGCGTCGTGGTCAGATCGTGAACCAGAATGATAACTCAATCATCTATATCACTTTAGTTCAGGTTATGTTCCATGTTCATTTTCATTTTGGTCAATTGGGTCAGTTGGGTCAACATGTTATAAAGAAACAAGTTATTATTCTGACATGGTGTATGAGCAAGTTCGGTAGTCTGGCTTTTGACTTGATGGGTGGTCAGTACAACCTTGAACAGTCTTGATATTGCTCAATCCTACATTATGATGAGTGCAGTGCGGTCTAAAGATAATCTACAAAAGCAGACTTTAGTTGAGCCCTAAATTAAGTTGCAATATCCACTGCGTCAACAAGTATGATGCAGCCCAATGAAGTGTCTTTCCATTCCAGTCTGCCGCCTTTTTGTTGGATGCTGCCTACACAGTCACTTTCATCCTGCCATGAAATAAGCGCAATATGACATGACAATGGCACTTTGATTCTCGCAATAAGGTTTCAGGATCGTGAGGATTCTACCGAGCCTACAAACCCACAAGATTGATTCATTGATTAGAACATTAGATATTTCCTACTTTTTGTTCCATTGAAGCATTACGCAAAGTCTGTCTAAAAATACCTTGTTGATGATAGAATAGGGTCCAAGAATGATTGCTGCAAGAAGTTTGATAAGACGACCTCAAAGTGCTATCGTTATATTACGGTCTAGTGATATCTAAGGGGAACTTCATTTTTTCATGTTGTCTACTCTATCCATACCAAGGCAGACTTTCCATATCTTATCAAATTATCATGATCATACCTCTCATTCCAGTGTCAGACAATTCAGCAAGCCTTGGGCCACTTCCCCAGCATGGGTTCTATTCATCAAGTCTCCTGAAAGTGGGCTATTCTCAAGGGTTTGGGGATTAACCTCGACGTTGAAAACTATAAGTTCAAAGCCGTCAAATTATGAGCCAAATGGCTCCTTATTGTGAACTTGTAACATCATTCTTGACGTTCATTTTGATCAACTTAGTCTCGGCACACATAGTCAATTCTTTCTAGTATTCTATCCATCATTTTGATTCCCTTATGACATAACAATATATAGACTATATCGCTACGTTGTACAACATCTTTCTTCTCTTTGAGCGCTAAAGTAATCTTTGGTTTATTCACTCTAAATTATCGCTTTCTCAAGAACCACAAAGACCTCATGAGCACCAATTGTTCTACGAAATTTGTTTTCAAAGTTTCAACCAAAGACCCTTTCCCACTCTTAACACTCTTCGAATCGGGGGAACAAACTTTCGATCATCGCGGGTGTTTTTATAGAGATCCAGACGTAGCAGGCGTAGACCATCATTACGCATACTACTCGACCATAAAGCAAAGGGAAAGTGACGAATTGATCAGAAAACGGTTCAGTAAAAATCAAAGAAAACTCAACTCAAGAAAGTACTGACTGGTTACAAGAAAGACTCTTAACATCCAAATTGGATCGAAGACTTTATCACAAATCTTAAACCGAAGTCTCGAGAACGTGTCTAGTAAAATAAAAAGAAACCGATTGAGACATTAAGGAACTTGATCTAAATTTAATTTGTGAAAAACGAGACATACCTTCTTGCCCAAGAATAAATTTTCCTAAGAAAAAGATAAAACAAAAAAGCGCAAACGTTCATAGGTTGAATCAAAACTTTCAACAAACAAAGCGAATTGGAAGGTGGAGATTGACCTATGTTGACCAACGTATGGTCGCTGAGATCTCTTTCAAAGGCAGTATTTTTGTCCATAATGAAGGTCTAGATGATTATTGAGTCTTTAAAAAAGCGAAGATTTTATGGAGATAGTAGTAGCTAGAAGAATGAAGTTATATAAGACTTGTAAAAGTTTATGACGATTTATCTATGGGTTCTAAGATTTCAAAATGGCCAATGAGGTATAAATGTTCAAAATGTTTTAGGACAGATGGAAGCGGATGAGGAACGGAAAAGTAGACTGATGAGGCGGTATTTATAGTCAACTTGGTAGGGGGGATTTCGGTTATTGCAGCACTCGTCTTCGTAGGCATCGGGCGAGGGAGACTTTTCCGGAGGCTGACGAAGCCAAATCTACTGGATAATCCAAGATGCATCGAGTCCTTAGCATCAAAAGGATGTTCTCTCTTGGCTGGAATAGCAGGAGACATTAAGCTTGTGAGGCGGATTGCTTAAGTGACCTGATCTGAGTCCTTGAGTACTGTGTCTTCTTATCCCCTCCACTTGTAGCAGTCATACCGAATAGAAATTGAAAGACCTCTTCACCTTTCGTACTGGGTCTGACGAAAGAACTCTGCATTGGTCTCTGCGATAATTTTCTGTGCTCCCGTCCTCGAGACTTTGACTGAATCATCTGGTCAGAATAATGATATCATTTTGTACCTTAAGTTGCTCGATGGATATCCACCCAGCTTAGCTTTAATGACAGCGCGGTACCACTCAATAAGAATCTGGACTGAGTCGTCGTTCCCCGTCTCCTATTTGCAAATTGCTTATTGAGCATAGTATGTAAGTAAAAGGGCGTGATTTTCACTTGTGGTAGCTTGCTGAAAAGGCAGTCAACGTGCGTTCCATGTCACAAAGTGCTTCACAAGAATCACCAAAAAAATACGAAGACCTGAGAATTTGAGCGAAGACTCCTGAAAAGTTGCTACAAGGTTTTCGATGCCAGGCTTGACGAGCTATCCATCAATTTTTCATGGGTCTTTGATCATGCATTTTGAGACTTCCTCTTAATCCTTATAAGGGTCGAGGTATGAATGAAATTTTAGCTTTCTTAGATAAGTCTCCTGCTTTGTGATTGATGACTGTTTATATCGCCCGTCCATACCTCGATGACTCAAATCTCGGAGATAGTCAAGTAGTCAGCTAACATCAACGATCGGAAACTCGCATCTTGGATAAATGACTCGCAAAGCAAAAAGACCTCTAAGCCTCTGAATCTGGGTACGAACATAAGTAACCAAACTCAGGATTCTCTTTTCAGATGAAACAGACAGTCAAGAGGAATATTGCACCTTAATCTTTGCAAAGGCTTATGCTCCTTCAATCGATAGCTTCTGAAGCCAAGAAATTTGGACAAGAAATCGTATTGCAGAAGAAGTAGCCCCGTTACTGAAGGTGATGGGCTGACTGATTCGTTGGATGTACTCATCTCCTGTCACCTGATAGTCGTGACCGTGAGGGCCGATGTAATTGGAAAAAAATGGATTACAGTTCGTTTCGTCCCTGTTCATCAGAAGGAAGCGAGTTCTGTTACTAAAGTGATTTATCTTGCCACAGCCTTGCAAAAGGCTTGCAAGTTTCACGTTCTGATACTCGAGTCCCCTCTGTATTTGAATACCAGCCTCGGGGACTATGATGACTCCCACTAGGTCCACCAGACAAATATAAGGACGCGTGAGCAAAGGATTCATATTAAATCGCTCTCCACCGCTTCTTGTCTTCAAGATGACCTGCGTATAAGTGTAATCGATAATGCGGTTTATTCAGGGCAGGTAAATCTCAAAGTCGTAGAGCTTCCGGGAATAATCATGATCCCTCCTGATGTACTTATCTCTACGGCTTTGCGTCTTGACTCGAGCGCATTGAAGCCTTTTACGAAACATCCATGTTGTACATGCATGCTATTGAACTCGGATTGTATTACGGGGGATGATTTAAAGGCTAACATGCGTACTCCCCTTCCATAAGTCCGGCTTTACCGGTGTTTTGAGGGTTCATTGGTTTAACATCACTCATTCTATGTAGCGAGATCAATGAATATCTGTTCAGCTTTTTTTTGTTATACTACGAGGGATACCTCGATGTACTCTTCTATCAAGTTCAAGCGAGTTGCACGTTTGAGGAGTCAAAAAGGTTTCGATTGATCGAGACGTCCAAACCTGCGGACCCAGCCTTTCACTATGAAGCAGACGTACGAGAGCCGCTTGAGGCTTCACTGCTCGAGAAGAGATTGTGGGACAAGTAGAATGAGTCTCATGTAAAGTCTTTAACTTCCCATAACAGTCCTCATCAGTCACGATCTACTGGTCAGAATTACCATTCGAAAAGCCTCGGACGGCAAGGTTTGAAATTACGCGTGATCACTGTTAAGCTGTAGAAAGATGCGGCATATGGCCAACGTCGGCTTGAAAACACGACTCTGCCTTGCGGGTGCTGCTCTTGCTAGGAAAGAGTTCTTTTTACCGACAAGCCAAGCATTTCTATGAAAAATTAGACGACAGAGAGTCGTGGCGAATACGAATCCGTGGAAAATATTCAACTCCTTAAGAGCAAATCTCACCACGTCTTTCTGTGAAAGATGACGATGGCCTTATCTGAATCCATATGATGACATGATACCACGGTAAACTTCAAAAAATCCCCTCTCGGAGTAAATCGAGCGAGCTGTGTGTAATCGGCATCCGCATACATAGCTCAAGGGAAAGACTACTGATGTGAGAGTGGCGAGATCAACGTGTCATCGGGCATCTTTTTGTAAGCGGGATACTACTTCGCCACATCCGTTCTCATGCTCATGCTCATGGCACCCAGACAAAGATCGAAGCGAAGGAGCAGAGAGATGGGGAAATGTAGTGTAGAATCATTCGAATACGAAGCAAGATAACAAAAGAGGTGTGACTTGATGTGATGAGAGGTCAACAGCCGTCTCTCGCTTATTTGGCCCTCTAAAACGTCCTTTCGCCAGGTACAATTAAGACTCTTAATTAAGGCCAACGAGATATTGCAGTCTTGATCTGTTGGTGATATAACCCAATGAAACGCCTTATATATGCGAAGAAGCGAAGTCGAACTTTGCAAAGAGCCTCTCTCGCCTCACGACTAGTCGAGACGAGGTAGTCGGCACTTTTGTCACGAGTAGGCGAGAAGAGGGACTTCGTTAAGTCTATCATGAGCAGTCGAGAAGAGGAACTTTGTTAAAGTTTCACGCGAAGTCGAAGTAGCTTTTGGGCGATTACGAAACGCACAAGCTACAAAATTCGATCACGCTGAGGGTTGCCTCAGCCTTTGATCCTCATAATCTTTGGCAGATCATAAACCGGATATAAGATTAGACCTTGTCGCCTAGGCAGATTACGCTCAAAATTGCAATCGTCAGATCTGTGATAGTTGCCTCTGTTGCTTCACCATTGCGAAACACTCCA